CCCCCCCCCCCCCCCCCCCCCCCCCCCACCACCCCACAAACCCCAGGTTCAGTTGCCATGACCATCGTCATTGGCTTCGAGGGCAGTGCCAACAAAATCGGAGTTGGTATCGTCAGGGATGGTTTGGTGCTGTCCAATCCGAGGAGGACGTACATCACGCCACCGGGACAAGGTCAGTGCCGCGTTGGTAACAGGGGCGATACAGAAGCAGGAATAGACCATTCAGCTCCTTAGGTCTGTTCCGTCCACCGTGGGAATCCTGGCTGAGCTGCGGTCTAGCTCCATATACCACCTTTTGGCCCTGTGTCATTTAATCCCTTCGTTTAACAAAACTGTATCTATCTCAGATTTAAACTTGAAAGCGACGGTTTATATACAGAATAACAGATACCCCGGGAGGGAGTTACAGACTGGAATCTGACCGAGGGGTTCGGGGTGGTTTATATACAGAATAACAGATACCCCGGGAGGGAGTTACATACTGGAATCTGATCGAGGGGTTCAGGGTGGTTTATATACAGAATAACAGATACCCCAGGAGGGAGTGACTAACACTGGGACCTTTTCTGAAGGCTTCCTCCCCAGGGATACGGCGAAACATCACAGGGACTGTGTCCTCGATGTGACAAGGGAGGCGTTGGAAGAGGCAGATGTCAAACCGGAAGAGATTGACTGCATTGCCTACACCAAAGGTGAGAGAGGCCTGTTGGGGTGGGGGAGCGTGAGCACTTAGGCCCCGGTGTGTGCGGAAAGTGCTGGTCCCATCCTCTGTTCACTTGTCTGGACTCTTTCCCTGAGTGTTTCCAGTCCCCTCCCCACCCCACAACTGGCAAAGTTTGTATTCTAAACCTCAAATGAAAAGACATCTCACAAATGAACCTCTGCCATCGAGTGACACAGCCATCCATTTGAATAATGCCCTTTCTGGGGGGGGCAAAGTCTGCCATCCTCACCTACTCTGGCCTCCACGTGACCCACAGCGATGTGTGTCCGACTCTCGACTAACCGCCCTCTGATGTGACCCAGCGAGCCGCTCAGTTGTACCGATCGCTATGCAGTCTCAGCAAGGGAACGAAACGAGGCGGGCCACGCAGCATGGACCCAGGGAGAGACGCTGGCCGAAACAGCCCTGCCCACCCGGTCAGACGGCCGCTGTGCAGAGGGATCTGGGTGACCTTGTGCGTGGATCACGACAAGTTGGTTTGCAGGCGCAGCAGGTCGTTCGGAAGGCAAACGTCCTCCATTTCTAGAGGGATGGGGTTTAAAAAACGGGGAGGTTACGCTGCAGCTGTAGAGGGTGCTGGGGTCAGGCCACACCTGGAGTACCGCGTACAGTTTTGGTCTCCTTACTTGGGAAAGGATGTACTGGAGGGGGTGAGGAGGAGATTCATGAGGTTGGTTCCAGAGTTGAGAGGGTCGGTTTATGAGGAGAGATTGAGCAGACTGGGACTGTACTCATCGGAATTTAGAAAAATGATGGGGGGAGTGCGGGATCTGATAGAAACATGTAAAATTACGAAGGGAAAAGGTAGATAGAAGCAGGGAGGTTTGTTCCCACTGACTACAACTAGGGGGCATAGCCTCAAAATGAAAGGGAGTAGATTTCAGACTGAGTTGAGAAGGAACTTCTACCCAACTCCCCCCAGCCAAAGGGTTGGGAATCTGTGGATATCCCTGCCCCAGTGAGGTTTAGAAGGATGAGGGGGGTATCTAATTGAAACTTACAGAATACTGAATGGCCTGGACAGCGTGGATGTTGGGAAGATGGTTCCATTGGTAGGAGAGACTAGGACCTGAGGGCACAGCCTTAGAGTAAAGGGAAGACCTTTTAGAACGGAGATAAGGAGAAACTTCTTCAGCCAAAGAGTGGTGAATCTATGGAATTCACTGCCACAGAAGGCTGTGGAGGCCAGGTGATCGAATATATTTAAGACTGAGATAGATAGGTTCTTGATTATCAAGGGTTACGGGGAGAAAGCAGGAGAATGGGGTTGAGGAACTTATCAGCCACGATTGAATGGTGGAGCAGACTCGATGGGCGGAATGGCCTAATTTCTGCTCCTATGTCTGATGGTCTTATGGCTATTCAGTTGGTACATTCTCACTGAATCGCAGACTGGTCAAACTCTCAGAATCATATCTTACAGACAATGTCCCAGACCCCACCATCCCCATCCCTGGATATGTCCTGTCCGACTGGAAGGACAGACCCAGCAGAGGGGGCGGCACAGTGGGATACAGTCAGGAGGTTGTTGCTCTGGGAGTCCTCAACATTGACTCTGGACCCCATGAAGTCTCATGGCTTCAGGTTAAACGTGGGCAAGGAACCCTCCTGCTGATTACCCCGTACCGTCCTCCCTCAGAAAGTGAGGGCCTTTGCTGGAAGGGTTCAGCATCTCGGATGGGGAAGGTGACATTGCAATGGAGCGAGTTGGAGGGATGTGCGCAAAGGTTCAGAAATTGGCAGCGCTGGGGACGGAGGTGGGGAGGAGCCATGCCGACTGTGTATCGACACATCGGTCTCCCAGCTCTGCGCTGAGTGTGTGTTCCCCTCCCCCACTGCGTCCAGGTCCTAACTGTTCGAATCTCTCTGGGGATTCCCCCCCCACCACCTTTGCAGGACCCGGCATGGGAGCCCCCCTGGTCTGTGTCGCTGTGGTGGCCCGGACCTTATCGCAGCTGTGGAAAAAGCCGCTGCTGGGGATTAATCACTGCATTGGGCACATAGAGATGGGCCGATTGATCACAGGAGCGAAAAACCCCACGGTGCTGTATGTCAGTGGAGGTAACACGCAGGTACGGTTAACCCTGCCGAGGGGCGGCCTTGTAAAATCGCGAGGGCCTTGGATAAGGTGAACAGCCAAGGTCTCTCCCCTACGGCTGGGGGTACTTCAAAACCGGGTGTTGGAGTGGGGGGTGGACACATTCGTAAAGGGGAGAGATTTTAAAAGGAACTGATGGGGTCAACTTTTTCACGCAGAGGGTGGTGCGTGTGTGGAACGAGCTGCCAGAGGAAGTGGGTGGGGGCTGGTACAGTTACAGCATTTAAAAGGCATCTGGATGGGGACATGGATAGGGAGGGTTTAGAGGGATAGGGGCCAAACACTGGCAGACGGGACTAGATTAATTTAGGATATGTGGCCAAAAGTGTCTGTTTCCGTGCTCAGTGACTCTATAATTCTGCAGGTTCCCCTCCAACTGAAACGAAAAGAAAAGCTTTTCAACAACATGTGATTAACTTAAGCCACCCCCCCCCACCGCCCTCGCAAAAATAAACAGTCTGGGATCTTCGATGCCGAAGCCCAATGCATCCGGCTGTTTTGATCATTCGTGATCTCTCCCACAGTAATATCATTCCCATTCGCCGTCCTTCTCGGATCGTTTCCAAGTTAATCACTAAACCCCTCCAGATACACAGAGATCCGTACGCCATCAGTTCAGGTTCAAAAATGCAGGGACAGTGTAGTGGGAGCTTTACTCTGTATGTAACCTCGTGCTGTCCCTGTCCCTGGGAGTGTTTGATGGGGGACAGTGTAGAGGGAGCTTTACTCTGTATCTAACCCCGTGCTGCCCCTGTCCCTGGGAGTGTTTGATGGGGGGGACGGTGCAGATGGAGCTTTACCCTGTATCTAACCCAGGACACAGACAGCACGGGGAGTGTGAGCTGACTGGCTGTGATCTTCCCCCAGGTCATCGCTTACTCGGAGCGGCGCTACCGAATCTTTGGTGAAACCATCGACATCGCGGTGGGGAACTGTTTGGATCGATTTGCCCGGGTCCTGAAGGTACATCCCCACCCCAACCCCGCTCCCCACAACCGTCTGTTCTGGGCTGCTCAGTCATCCCGTGTTGACCCCCCCTCACCTAGGCAAGAGGTTTCAGTTTGATGCGGACTCTGAGGAGAGGCTCAGGAATTAGCGAGCGTCTGTGCTCTGGCTCTTTGAGGGCGGGGCTGTTGGTTCGCTGCGTTCTCCTTCCCACACTGTGCCCACACTCTCCCCCCCGCCTCCTGCTTCGCTGCGCGCCCGTCCTCTTTGCCGCTGCCCGGCCCCTCTGCTTGCGCTCGAGAAACCCGGGCGGCGGAGAGGTGGGTACAGGTGATGGAGGGGGCTGAAGGTCGTGAACGGAGATGGGGACAGAGAGAGAGAGAGAGAGACACACACACACAGATGGTGAGGAGAGGCACAGGCAGTGAGGAGGGACAGACACACAGTGAGAGAGACAGGCAACGAGGGAGGAAGAGGGTGGGACAGGCAGGGTGAGGAGGGACAGGCGGAGAGAGACAGGCAACGAGGGAGGGACAGAAGGAGAGAGAGAGACAGGTGACGAGGGAGGGGGACAGGGGGAGGGGGGCGACAGGTGGGGTGAGGGGGGGCAGAAGAGAGAGAGAGAGACAGGCGATGAGGGAGGACAGGGGGAAGGAGAGGGACGGGGGAAGGGAGAGGGAGAGGGACAGGGTGAGGAGGTTGGACAGGAGGAGAGAGAGAAAGCTCAGTTCGCAGGGAGACAGCGTTGCCGTGCCTTTCTCTGAAGGTGATCTCTGTTCTGTCAGATCTCCAACGATCCCAGTCCAGGATACAACATCGAACAAATGGCGAAGAGGTATCTACCGGAGACCGTCAGTGTG